TCACCGTAGTCAGGTGAGGTCAGCTGACCGTGTGTAAATTTCACCGTGTTCAGGTGAGGTCAGCTGACCGTGTGTAAATTTCACCGTAGTCAGGTGAGGTCAGCTGACCATGTGTAAATTTCACCGTAGTCAGGTGAGGTCAGCTGACCATGTGTAAATTTCACCACACACAAGTCAGGTCAGGTCGGCCAACCTGTGTAAATGTCACAATACACAAGCCAGGTCAGCTGACCGTGTGTAAATTTCACCATATGTCAGGTCAGCTGACTTGGGTGACCACCTTTGCAGCATAATAGTCCACTTTTTAAGGAAGGGGCCATTTCAAAGAGGCCATGTTGAACAAAGTTTGTAGCTTAAAAGACAGGATATGCCATTCCCAGGCATGACATTAGGAAAGGGTTTGATAGGTCAAATTTCTATATCAGACCCTCCCTCAGCCTTCCTTTTTCTGCACAAATGAGCCCCAGCTTCCATATTTCCTGATAGTTATATTTTCTGCTATTCTGGTACGATTGTGTAAAGGATAAGCTAAACACCAAGCATTCCATGACTCTGCTCTCACTTTTTCTTAGAATCATACTCAGTGACGGGAAGTGATGGCAGCATTTCCACCTCAGTGGCTTCGATCCAGCCACAGCCGTCCACCAGTTCGGCCCCCAGCTCGCCGAGCTCCAAGCGATCGGTAAGCACCTTGAAGAAATGGCTGACCAGCCCGGTGCGCAAGCTCAGCAGTGGCAAGATCGACCGGCAGGTGAAGAAGCTGGAAAGCAAACCCAAGAAGGCGGAACGAAGGAAGAGTGTCGATGAGCGGCGCAGGAGCATTGACCTGGGAATAGTCAACAAAGGGAGTGAAGCTCAAGACGCGGTAAGAAGCCTTTCGTTTCGTCAGAGTTCTCGGGCGTGGCAGGCATCAGAATGCAAGCATCAAAAAATCATATTGAAATTCAAATTGAAAGATGGATAACCACAAAGGCTGCCCTTGTTGCCAGCAGCATGGTAAATACCTGAATTCGGCAAAGCCTATTAGAAACCTTCAGTTCTCCAAATTCACTTTGATAATGCTTTCACCACTTAAAATCTTAACTGTTCTCCTTTATTCTTTCCTGGGATGTGGGAGTGGCTGGCAAGTCCAGCATTTATTGCTTCGTTGCTCCTTGATCTGATTGATTTGCTTGACCATTTCAGAGGGTGGTTAATAGTCAACCATATTGCCAAGAGTCACGCATAAGCTAGACTGGGTAAAGATAGCAGACTTCCTTCCTTCAAGGAACGTAGGAACAGGAGTAGGCCATTCAGCCCCTCAGGCCTTTTCCACCATTCAATGAGATCATGGCTGATCTGTGGCCTAACTCCATTGACCTGCCTTTGGCCCATATCCCTTAATACCAATAGCATTTATTGATCTTAGATTTGAAACTAACAACTGATCCAGCAACCACTGCCATTTGTGGAAGAGAGTTCCAAACCTCTACTACCCTTTGTGTGTAGAAGTGCTTCCTAACATCTCTCCTGAATAGTCTGGTCCTCATTCGCAGACAATGCTCCCTAGTTTTAGAATTCCCAACCAATGGAAATAGTTTATCTATCCTGTCATTTCCTGTTAATATCTTGAAGACTTCAATCAGATCACCCCCTTAACCTTCTAAGTTCTAGGACATTAGTCAATCAGATGGGTTTATATGACAATTGACTGTCATTATACCATCTTCTAGTTCCAAGGTTTTTTTCTGAATTCAGATCGCAACGCTGGGGTTCAAACTCATAACTAGGAACATTAGCCTAGGCATTCTGCATTACTGGTCCCACTCCACCATAACCTTCCTGTTTAGCACCTCTCCTCTGCATCTTCAAGTGCCTCAGTATATTCATAGAATCCCTACAGTGTGGAAACAGGCCCTTCGGCCCAACAAGTCCACACCGACCCTCAACAAATCCCACCCAGCCCCATTCCTCCTATAACCCACCTAATCTACACATCCCTGAACACTACAGGGCACTTTAGCATGGCCAACCCACCCTAACCTGCACATCTTTGGACTGTGGGAGGAAACCGGAGCACCCGGAGGAAACCCACGCAGACACGGGGAGAATGTGTAAACTCCACACAGACAGTCGCCTGAGGGCGGAATCATACATCACTGTGAAGGTATTTCTGAGATGAATGAGGTGGGATTAAAATCAAGCTCTTCTTTTCCATCCTCTGCGTAGTTCAAGCCCTGCTAATCCCAGCGTTATCACAAAGTTAATAATTTTAAAATAAGCACACAGAATTCCCCAGTTTACCTGACTTTCGGACCCAGATTGGCAGAGCGCACAGACCATTCTTCATACTCACTATTTACTACAGGAATTAGACTCCAGCTACTGTCAACAGTTACATACTGTCAGAATATAACACCACTAATTAAAATTCTAATCCCTTTGAAACTCCTGCACATGCACATTCACACACACTCTCACACACACAAACACACACTCCTACACAAATACACTCCCCCTCACCACACTACCCCCCACTCTCACCCACATACTCACCCACACACACACTCACTCTCTCACACACACTCTTTCTCTCACTCACACATACACTCTCTCTCTCTCTCTCACACGCACACACTGTCTGTCACACACACACTCACCCCCACCCACACACTCACCTGCACTCTCACACACGCAGTCTCTCTCTGTCACTCTCACTCTCTCTCTCTTTCTCTCACTCTCTCACACATACACACACACTCTCTCTCTCACACTCACACACACACACACACTCTCACACAAACACACACTCTCACACACACTCTCACGCACACTCTCACGCACAGTCTCACTCACACACATGTGCGCACAAACACACACACACATACACATACACACACACACACACACAGATAGCCATACACTCACTCTCTCACACACACAATGCCTCACACACACATGCATCCACACACATACACACTCAATCACTCCCACACACTCCCTCCCCCACACTCACACGTACTCTCACACACACACTCCCCCGCCATGACGTCCTCCCTCAGATGCTGTCTCTCTGTTCTCTGCAGTCAAAACTCACTTTAAGACTCACTTTCCTTCAGTAGTTGCTGTATGATGTGAATTTAAATTGATAAGTCAGAGATACTTTAAAAGCAAACCAGTCTTTCAGTGCCTCTGCAAATCGGTGCAGGCATTCAGAGATGGCACACCAGGAAGAAACGATCAGATCTGCAAGAATCAATAGAATTTGCGGACAAAGATTAATGAAGTGTGTATGTGTGCGCGCGCATCTGTGGCTGTGAAGGAAATCACATCGTACATCAGCTGCTGAAGGAAAGTGAGTCTTAAAGTGAGTTTTGACTGCAGAGAACAGAGAGATAGCACCTGAGGGAGGAGGTCAAAAGATTTTGCCGTATTTTGTGCCTAGTCCCAAGCTGTTCCATTACCTGAGAACCAGTCACCTGCTCTTATTGAACAGATTTTAATCAAGTAGCTCTATTTTAATATTTTTCAAATCAACCTGTTCAGAGATGTTATAACAGTCATTGGAAGGTCAATAAGAGCAGGTGCTGCACTCCACCAGGTTAACCGCCCAGATGTTGAAGAGAAACAAAAGCCCTGTTGAGACTTTAGCCATAGTATGACACTTGGGTTTCCTATTTTTTATGGCCTTCCTGACTTGCATTCCCACTGTTAATAAGTGATTCCCTTTCCCTCCAAGTCAAGTTCATTTCTAAGGCTACCTGGCCTAAAATTTTATTAATTCATTCCTGGAACGTGAGTGTCACTGGCTGGGCCCAGCATTTATTGCCCATCCCTAATTGCCCCTTGAGAAGGTGGGGGTGAGTTGCCTTCCTGGACCGTTGCAGTCCATTTGCTGTAGGTAGACCCCAATGCACTTAGGGAGGGAATTCCAGGATTTTGACCCAGAGACACTGAAGGAACGGTGATATATTTCCAAGTCAGGATGGTGAGTGGTTTGGAGGGGAACTTGCAGGGGGTGGTGTTCCCATGTATCTGCTGCCCTTGTCCTTCTAGATGGAAGTGGTCGTGGGTTTGGAAGGTGCTGCCTGAGGAACTTTGGTGAATTTCTGCAGTGCATCCTGTAGATAGTACACACTGCTGCTACTGAGCGTTGGTGGTGGAGGGAGTGAATGCTTTGTCCTGGATGGTGTCAAGCTTCTTGAGTGTTGTTGGAGCTGCACCCATCCAGGCAAATGGGGAGTATTCCATCACACTCCTGACTTGTGCCTTGTAAATGGTGGACAGGCTTTGGAGAGCCAGGAGGTGAATTAGTCACTGCAGGATTTGTTGCCTTTGACCTACTCTTGTAGCCCCTGTATTTACATAGCTAGTCTAATTCTGTCTCTGGTCAATGGTAATCCACTCCCCCTGGGCTAACATACTTATGGACAACATTTCCTGTGATGTATTTTGGTAACTTTCCTTGTAACACCCAGCTATGCCCTCTTTTGTTCACTTCTTATTTAATATTTGCTCTGGCATTTATTCATTTTTATCCAGTCTATATCCATGTTTCCGTTTTAGTTGCAAATCTCATAAGCCTGTTCATTTGTGGAAACTCAGCATTTGGCACACTGTCTTTTTATGAGAATTCACTTGATTTGGACAGTTTGTATCTCCTGCTTCAATCATTTTCATGCTGAACCACCAGTTCCATTCACCAATTGTTCAATCCATTTGCTTTACTTGTTTCCATTTATTTGCTTTGTTGCAACTTGTACTTTTGCAAGTGCCTTATCCTTAGCCTTATATTCTGCCTTCAGGCTGAGTGTTTCTCAGCAATAACGTAACAGCAAGAAAAATGTATCAACAGCCTCTGTCAATTGGATTTGGTCAAGGATTCACTCAACAATCCTCTTCTACTGTTGCTGAATCAGAACTTTATTTGCAAATCAATGACTTGGCTTCATTATGGCAATTGACTCAGCAACCTTCAAGTATAACTTAAAGCACCATCTTACACTAATAGAGTTACTGACTTGTGAATATTATAATATGTCACATTACAGAAGCATCACTGACCTGTGAGTATTATTACAAATTATGGTAATAGAGCCACTGACCTGTAAATATATTTTTCTTTCATGGGATGTGGGCATCACGGGCAAGGCCAGCATTTGCTGCCAATCCTTCATTGCCCTTGTACTGAGTGGCTTGCTCAGCCTTTTCAGAGGGCAGTTAAGAGTCAACCACATTGGCTGTGGGTCTGGAGTCACATGTAGTCCAACATTATAGGTCATAGGAATAAATGAGAAAAATAACGAAGTATAAGTTCAAGATATTTTAGATTTTAAAGATATCAAGAGATATGGAGAGAAAGCAGGAATATGGTGTTGAGATAGAAGATCAGCCATGATCCTATGGCTTGAATGGCTTGAAGGGCCAAATGGCCATGCCCTGCTCCTTGTTTTTATGTTTCTATTCAATGTCCATTCCCTTCTGTGCACTCTATGCCATCAAGCAAAATACTTCCATCAAAGAACGAGACTGCAGTCTGTAAGTCTATGGCTTTTTACTTGCCCTGATCAGGACTCAGTGTCTCAGGAGGTCAGATTTTACGAAATCATGCAAAGGAGAATGCAGCCTCAGCTGTAATGAGTCCCAAGGCAACCATTTTCAAATGAGACATTGACGTTTATTTGGAAAGGAACCCCCGATTGGCATGCCTCATTCAATGTTAATGAGCTTGATGAGTTTAAATATTTTAATGTGGACATCTGAGGCTATCTGATGATAATCTTGCAGTCAGTACTTTTGGAAAGTGAAAATACTTTCGATTGAATTTGTTCTATTTAGATTCAGTTTGCAACATGATTGAAACCTTTTGATTTAAGTAGTGATTGA